TTGCAAAATCGACTCGAATTATCCAAATTTTAACAAGAATAAGTACCAGCTCTATTTTTGTTCAATAGTTCTCATTTTTGCATGAGATCAGAAGAAAATTAGTGGAATTTTCAATTAGAAATGCCCCGGATTCTCCGGTAAAAATGTAATTTGCGAGGGAAAATTTGGCAATATTGAAATGAGGCTACATGCTTCCACCGGGGGACGACAAACTATAAAAGATCCGCAAACGCAGATTGGCCGATTTGACGTGCAGCTAAAAAGAAACTGTTTAGCGTATTCAAGTGGATACCTTGAGTGACCCTATCCCTGCAGAGAGAGGTGGATGAATATGGGAATGGGGGTGGACTACATCACATTACCTTATCTTTGTGTCGCCATTATACAGCCTCAACTTTGAGAATTTTTTATTGGCTCAGGAATTTATTTTAGATAAAACCAGTGGCACTATCGTGTTTTACGTGAAATTTATCGTTGGAATAATTAGTTAAATTACAAATTCTCAGCTAAAACTGCTGTGCTGAAAAAGATCCATAAAAGTCCAATAAGTGTTGAAATGTTGTCAGATTGTTTTTGAATGAAATACTTAGAAGTCATGAATATTTGGATCAGATTTAATCAGTTTAAACCAATTTAATCAGAATTAGCGTTTGCATCACAACTTGTCTTTTTGCTTGTCTTCTCTCACTTTTTTCACATGGAAGCCAGGTTCTGCTTTGTAATTTTGTGAATGTTTTTCAGAATTTAGGGGAATTCAAGAATTGTTTCAGTGCATTATGTAATAAGTTTTTTTTTTTTTTTGTAAAAAAAAATAAAAAAAAAAATTTACTCGGGCATCACGAAGTATGAAACGCACTTACGCGGATTTTGATAAAACTCGCCGATTTTTCCTCGAAATTTTCAAATTGACTAAACTACATTGTGAGAAAAATTTGTTTAAAAATTCGAGGGGAAAACTTTGCAAGCTATCCACATATTATTAGACAGAATTTTGGCAATGCTCGCCTGTTGATCGGCGTTTTTCCTCACACAGCATCACAGCACTGCAGCGCTATGTAAGAACGCCGCAAGAGCCATCATATGTAGCCAAGTTTCCTTCAATAAAAATTTAATTTACTAAGAAAATTGTGAATATTTTTCTTTCATTTTACACGTAATTTCGTTCACAATTTTATCTAAATTGTCCGAAAGTTTCAAGGAAAATACGAATAATTTTCCTCAGTAAATACACGTTTTATCCGGGACAAATTGGCAACTCTCGAATGTTCATACGGCGTTTTCCCTTAGCACGGCACAGTAGCAAAAGCTCCACAAGAGGGTCCCGCAACATCCGCGAAGAAAATCTGTACGAGGTCGTTAACGTCGGGAAATTAAGCGTTCGGGCCGGGAATGGGATCGATTAAAATCGCGAGCGTGGAAAACGGAGGGCCTCGGCCGGTGATAAGGGGTTAATTAGTATTTCTGGCGGTGGGTCGCGGCGCGCGGGATTTATCGGGAGGTTTCCCGGGCCGCGCGGCACTTAGCCGATACGGACGGCCGGGGCCGGCGACGACTAATTAACATGGAGACGGCAAAAAAGAGACTTCCACTTCTTGCCGCTTTATTAATGCTAAAATCGTGTCGCGCGGAAAATTAGCACTGAGCCCCATAAAATCGGTGTCGACGGAGCGAGGGCTCAAAGGGGAAAATCGCGGCTCCAGCTCCGGCCGCAGGAAACTGGTCCCCGCGGGCACTCACTCACCGGCCTGCCCTCCCGGACTGGTTCCAGGGGTCCACCTTCCGACCGCGGCCGCGGCGCCAACCTTATCTCTTCGCGGACTCGCGGTCAGTCGTCCGGACGGCCCGTGCTTTGCGCCAGTCGCACAGTGGCCACGGCCGAACAAGCCTGGGCAAACAAGCAACAATAAGGGGCTGAAGTATGGGTCAGCACAAATAAAAGTGGCATTATGATTTCGACAAGAAATTTAGCTGGGACCTAGAATCTACCACAAAGTAAGAAAACAGCAGGAACGAGTAAGGATGAACTACAAATTTCGTAATCAAGGCTGACATTTTGAAGCGCCAATCAGACAGGGCGTTCCCAACTTTCAGTCTCATTTACAGCTGCAAAAAAAAAACCCAAAAATTAATGAAGAAGACGAGTGCCAACCTCTAGCTTCATTCTTTAACACGCAACTATCCAAATTTTTAAGCTTTGTGGCTTGAAATTTGGATCTGTTTTTCGTTTTACTGTTACTTTTACTGTTATCCTGAAAATTCGAAAGTTCATCCGTCGTCGCCACAGCCATCAGCAAATGATGCGTATAGTGGCCGCTAAATCCAATCGGTAACAACCTACTGATAAGCTCCGTTACAGTAGAGGGTACAGAAAGGTTAGCTGCGTTGCTCACAGAATCGTAGTTTGATGGTTTCATTCTGAAGAATAGCAAACAATACTAATTGAGAGTGTAATTGTAATATCACTTGGATTTTTCCGAGTGTCAAGTTTCAATGCGTCCAAAAATGACGGAAACTTGTCTTGGAGGGAAACATGGTGGTTGACATCATTCATCGCTGAAACGCTTTGAGTTGGATAACCACTGTGTGTCGTGTCTCCAGGAACCGCCGATTTATTCCACGTATTTATGCCAATGACTATTTAATGACAGCAATTCGAAGTCAACTGGTGTCATCTCCACTGATTCTTAGCTCCGCTGGCGCCCAATAGCCCTCTTTGATCCCGAAGTGGTCATTCTTTTGCTTCGGAATCGCTGCCGCGTATTTATGCAGATTCGCAGGCGGTAATGGCGTTTGGCGGAAGAAAGCAAAGCAAAGCGCTGAACGAACGAAAATTGAAGGCGTTGTGGAAAGAATATTGGGTGAACCTCAATACTTCCCCTTCGTCAGAGGTAGATCTAGAGAAAAGCTGAAAAGTGGGTCATTTGGGACTCTCTTGGGTAGAGGATGAGTTTGGAATGCCCCCGAAATTTTGAGGTATAAGCCTTTTTATAGTACATTTGTTGAAAAGTTCAGTCTGTATACCTAAAACCGCATGAGTAAACTTTGACCGAAATACGCATTTGAGAAGCAAAAACGCCAAAAAAAACGTGAATATAAGACAATAAGATTCATTAAAAGGTTTTTTTTACCATAAAACAAAGTAACAAAAAATTTGATGACCATTTTCTGGTTTTTTTCGGTCTCACAGTAAAACTATTTTAGTAAGCGCTTAGTTTTTCATAGAAGCTATGCTTATTATTTTACTGTCTCTCTTTTGCTGTTCCACGATTTTTCCTGATTCCTCCTTTCCCTTCTCTTTCTCCTTGGACCATGCCACTAATGCCCCATCCTATGGCTAGAATCCCATTATACTGAGAGTCAAGACAACACCCCCTCATGGAGTCACAAACAGGAATAAAGATTACACAAATTGAACGTTTTTCGTAATCTTTGATCGGCCCATTCTCAAATTTCTTTCTCCATTCTTTCTCTCATTCCGTTTGTTCCTTGCCGAACTCGTAATTCCCTGGTCCATTCGGGATTGTAATCTTTGCAATCGGTGAAAATGTAATCTTTATTCCCGTTTGTGCCACTATGAAGGCCTAAAATACGGGAACCAATCAGAAAAGGATTCACATTGTCTTGACTCTCAGTATAAAGGGACTCTACCTATGGCTTGGCCACTGCGTCAGCGTAGCAAGAAAAAGTTTTCTGTGAGCACTGCCCACTTTTAATCCTCCACGAGCGGCTGGCGCTCTTGAAAGTTTCAAAGTTACCAGTCTCTGCCGGAGCGCGGAGTTGCAAGCCGAGCTGCGGGAGTCGAGGATCGGGGAGGCGACCTGCAATTGCGAGCGCATGCCCGGACGGGGGTTCCCTCGCCACCCCCGCTTCCCGGAGGACGGCGGCCCAATGGACTCCGCCGGGAGGAGGGCGCCGGTCCCCGGATCCTCCCGCCCCACGCCACGCACCGTCCCGTGCCCCGCGCCGCGAAACTTCAACCCCTTTCGCCGTCTCGCGTTTCCACGCGGCTCCATTTTCATTCCCATTCAAATCCCTCTCGCCGGCCCCGCTCCGGTCGGGGCGCCCTCCCCATTTACATATTTACCTATACAGTTTCACTCTCGCTTCCGTTGCCATCACCTGGTTCCAGAGGGCGCCACCGCGGCCAACCCTTCCGTATCGATTTCCTCCGTGGAATCGGAATCCACGCCGTCTTCGGCCCCTAGGCCGAGATCCTGACAATGCGAACGGCTGATTTTTCCACCCCCACACACACACCCTTCATTGCATCGTTATCGAAGACAGCAGTTGCGTCCAAATTTTAAACATCCACACTGGGGAAAAAAACACATTGGATCTAGAGTCCAGACTCTTAAAAACATCGACATAAGAAAAAGTACTCTTGATTCAATCAGAATCTAGCTTACATCAAGATCCAAGCCTCTTAATTTAGGCGGATTTCGTTTTGATTCAAGCAAAAATCCGATTAAATCAAGAGTATTTTTTCTTGTCGATGTTCTCAAGAGTCTGGGCTCTAGATCCAATGGGTTTTTTCTCCCCAGTGTAGCTCTCTTTAAAATTCGACTAATCTAATGTGTCTTTCGCACGAAAGAGGCACTACAAGCTGAGTACTTTTTTTAAACGTATGATCGTACTAAAATCGAGTTCTTCCTTTCAAGAATAACAAATCCATTTGAATGAACAGAATTTGAACGAAAATCTTTCAGGAGAACGATTCATATTAAGTCCGGTCAAAGAAGCGGAGTTTTTAACTAAAAACACTACACCAATCGGTCTCCAAGTTCGCCTTCAATATATTGAGTAGGCAAATTCACGACTTCGGAGTTAAAATAGTTGCATGTATGGGATTATATGAACAAAAAATTATTTTCATGTCAGACGAATTGAAGATACTTAAACTTTTGTCATTCTATTGCTCATTTAATTTAATTTGTCCTGTTTTTATATGATTAAGACTATTGTATAATTTTATACTCATTTTATTTTCTTGTTTGTTGCAGGGAATAAAAGGCCGAGTCGATGTATGGGGTGCGGAGATCAAATTTATGACCAATATATTTTAAGGGTAGCTCCAGATATGGAATGGCACGCTAAGTGCCTGAAATGTGTGGAGTGTCAACAATATCTAGACGAAAACTGTACCTGCTTCGTTCGAGAAGGCAAGACTTATTGTAAAAGAGATTATGTTAGGTACGTATTCTTCGTTGCATCTATTTAATTTTCTTTTGATTTTTTTTCATACAAGGCCAAATTTTTCATGTCTTCATTTCCATTCGCATATATAATGGACTGTTTTTTACATTTTCGTGCCCTGCAATTTTAGTGGCTCGGAACTCGATCTTGATGTATCAAGTTCCATAAATACAAGGTTGTATTGGATATGTTTTCAGAATAATTTTCAGAGCGTTTTAAAACGTATCAAAAATGTCAACCGTTCTTTTTTGCAATGACGCAATTATTTATATCTACGTTACTTTTGTACCCTTTCTATCACGAACGTGAAATATGTCTGGTGTGCCTGATTAGTTCCATATTGGTTGGCGCCACAACCGGAAATGAGGAAAGGGTTGTGGAAGAACTCTGACCTGAATGAGATGTGCATCTTCCCCTTTGGCAGTTTGCATTGTTTTTTGAGAGTAGACAAATCCGTTTATCTTTGTTGCCAAATTTCACTCATGATGAACAAAATAACTACAATTTCGAACAGCCATCCTGCAAGAGACATATTCAACTCTTTAAACTTGAGTTCGAGGACTAATGCAGTTTACAGAGAAAATATACACTGTCACAAGATCTGCTGCAAGAATGAATAGGTCACGACTACTAGGTCATTGAACACAGAGTACACGGAAAAAAATAGGGTAGTCGACACAACCAGCGGCTAGTTAAAAATGCGCCAGCTACCGTGCGGTAGTTACGATAACTACCGCGGTGGAGGTCACAACTAACCCGGTAGTTACATCAACATCTATGGTTGTTGATGTAACTAGCCGCTGGTTGTGTCGACTACCCTATTTTTTCCTTGTATTATGCGTCGCCTTCCCACTCAGGAACTACCGTATAGTTCATGTTCACTCATCGATCAAAAATATTTTCCCGAGTCTTTGATATGGACATATGACCAAATTATGTCCATAAACTTAACCATGCACGCCCTCTCTGAACTTTATGTCTTCTTAACAAATATTTTCGCTCTGAGTGGCAGTTTAGACCCTCACAACCGCCCTAGGAACCAGATTGATAGAAACAAGCAATCGTGCAGGATGGGTTTTAACATTGACGTCAGGGTGGGCTAGGGGTAGGTAACTCCCCCACGGTGGTGTATTGCGCCCTATGAAACAGGAAACTTTGCAAACATGCACAAGACAGGGTGGAAGACGGCATAACGGTACTAACTCTGACACAAGATGAGAAGCTGCGTTTTGTCACACACAGCAGCCTAGCGACGCGTAAACGAACGCAGTCAGACTTAACTGCACATTAAAACGCACGTTTTTTTCTGGTGCTTGAGGTTGGCGATTCCTTTCTACTTCCGCGCGATCTGGCGTCGTTGTTGAGAAACAGCTCGACTCTGCCTGGACCGCACACGCCGCAATTTCTTCCTTGACTAGTTTCGTGCCAAAGAGCATCATTCTCCTGAGGGGTGTTATGCTAGGATGACAGCAAACACTTATGCGAACACGAAGCCTATACCTCTGTTAAATGATTTGGTTTACAATGTACATATGAATGATTTGACATTGACTGCATTGAGAAACTCTGTGCTACTGCTCAGCATTCGGTTGAAAAGTTTGAACTTTTGGATTTCACCTGTATTCAACACTGGAAAAAAAAAAACACATTGGATCTAGAGTCCAGACTCTTGAAAACATTGACAAGAAAAAATACTCTTGATTCAATCGGATTTTTGCTTGAATCAAAACGAAATCCGCTTAAATTTAGAGGCTCGGTTATTGATTTAAGCTAGATTCTGATTGAATCAAGAGTACTTTTTCTAGTCGATGTTTTTAAGAGTCTGGACTCTAGATCCAATGTGTTTTTTTTGTCCAGTGTATCCACGCGCTGTACTTTTGAAATACAGATAACGGTATATAGTAAAAAAAACCTATTCGGCCCGATGAAGCCAATCACAAAATTTGTCCAAGATTTTCGATTCTGCATGATTTCTAGCGAATTATATACCTACACTCTTTCCCTCATTGGACAGTTTTCTTAACTTTTGAATTTTTTGCATGTCACCGCTCATGTACGCCATTTTTATCCGACAAAAGTGACTTCAGTTGGTGTTTCTTTCTGTGTGTTTCAGGTTATTCGGTACAAAATGTGATAGGTGCAATTTATGTTTTAGTAAAACGGATTTCGTGATGAGAGCCAAATCGAAAATTTATCATATAGACTGCTTTAGGTGTAGTGCGTGTGAACGGCATTTAACGCCGGGTGATGAGTTCGCGTTAAGAGAGGATGGACTGTTTTGTAAAGAAGACCACGAAGTGCTCGAAAAAGCTACCAACGGTGAAAACAATAATAATAGCACGAATATTAATAATAACAGTTTACATAACAACGAAGGATCCAATTCTGGTGAGTCACTCTAACATCATTACATCTCCTTGTTTCTGTCCTTAATTTGGACCGCGTTTAGCAACAAAGAACAAAATCACATCAGGTATTGCAAAATGTAACTGGGCAGTTTCATTTTTCACAATAGAACGTTTGAGTGGATTCCTTTGAAAATGTTAAGGAATTCGCTTCGTACTCTGTAGAAAATTCACTGTAATTTGCACAAAAATCCGCACGACACACAGTGGGACGAAAAGGTGTCAAAACGGGACATTCGCACATTAGACGATACTTTTTCGCCGATCTTCTCAAAACTTGACATTTTCGGTCTTTTTGGGAAAAGGAATCCAATATTATATTCAGTATTTGGTTCATGGTGACAATCCCGCCAAAAAGTGATGTTGCCAAGTCTCTGTTTTAATCTATTTGATAAACAGATTAGCATGATAATGGCAGAGATTTAACGCGCGTGTCGTTTGCTTTTTTTTCATTGAAAAAGAAAACGAATTCACTTTTCCTGAAATTGAGAAATGCTTTTATTAAGAAACAACACCCCCCCCCTACCGTCTTCTTACCTATCGCAAAAACCGCATCTATATTTGACTATAGGGGAATGAGTTCATCAATGGGCAGACATTAAAGTATGAATCCGAAAATCATAATTGAATAGGTTGCTCCCAAATATTATCATTCTTTGACACAGATGCTTTTTCTCCGTTTTTTTTCAAGGACTTTTCTTCTTCCCTTTTGAGCGCCATTTTTTAAAATCCTGATTATACGAAATATGCAACAGACACTCAAAAGCTCTAATCTTAAGATGTCAAGGCAAAATTCCATACCTACTTTAGAAACTCCGAGTTTCTTAGGGGTCTTTTCTGCACTTCTGAGATATCGTTCATAAGAATGAGGATTTATTGCCAATCAATATATTGCAAATTTTTCCATCGAATATGCTGGAATAAAAATCATGGGATACTGTCAAACTGTCGCTACATTGGTTGATATTATTAGTGTATTTTCCGAAGGAAATACACTATTTTATATTTTTTAATTTCAGCTCCGATTCTAAGGACCGTTTCCATCACGACATCATCCGATTCTTTGCAAATTCAAAATAAAAAATTGCTCTACAAAAAAAGACGATAGCAATCAGTATCCTAGATATCAGATAAGCATTGCAGCAAGCTGATAAGCAACGCAGCGGCAGCGCGGCGGCCAGCAACGCAGCCCGTTGCGCTCAACCTCAACCGTCAGTTGGCCTGAGAAAGCGCTCGATTTTAAGCGAACCGCGCTCATGTTTTCCCTTGTAACTTCCAAAGTCGGAAGAAGTCGGATGAAAACTAATATGATTCTGAAAGCTAAGGATACGTAGAATCTCGATATGCAAACCGTTTCTTGGACAAGTCTGGACATTTTTTTAAAACTCTAATGGAAGTTTGAATTTTAGTTTTTTGACTTGTCGATTTGGAATTCACTCTCTGACCCCCAGGAAGTTAAAAGTAATCATCACCAATGACGTAAACGAATAGTCTATGTTTGTATTCAATTGTTATAACAAAAAATTGCATTTGAAATCATCTCGGAAGCTAGAGGAGCAACATTTGTATACGTGCGCTTTTACCTCTTTTTTTCATTTTTCCGAAACACGCGTTTCTCTACGCCTGTCATTTGAATATTCCTTAATTAAATTGTTAAAATCTTCGTCATTCTGGAAGTTTAGACCCTCCAGGTAACTTCTACACCCTTGGTTTTTGCTTTTAATGATTTTCATTTTTACCGTGAATGTCCCGTTTCTGTAATGGGCTCGTCCCAATGTGCGACAGTTTTCATGTGAAAAAATTGAATGTTACAATTAAATTTGGCAATAGCTGATTTGCCTTGGTTCCTTTCTGCTTAACTAGGTTCATTATTTTTTAAAGAGCTCTTCCTTCCGTAAAGATTCACAAAACATTATGTTTTTCGGATCTTCTTCATTTGAGTATTGTGCGGAAATACTGCAATATTGTTCCTTACACACAACACACTTCTAAAAAGTATCATCCCCTACATTTTTCAGTGAGAAACCTTGAATCCACCGTGCATAGGAGGGATATTAAAATGTTGTTAAAAGCCCCCCAGTAATTTTTTTTTTTTTTTTTTACAAAAAAAGTCGTGGGTATTATTCTTTTAGATTTCTGGAACTACTGGATTTTAGAGCTTTGTTGGCTCTGAATTGGTAATCTTAACGCAGAACAATATTCGTATCTTTTTGAGGCGTGTGAATCTAGGGCTATCGCTACTATTTTACCCGCAACATTGTCCAGTTCTAAGAATTGCAGGAGGAAATTAGTTCGTGAGGGATCTTGACCTATTTTTTAAAGTGCGCATACTCCATCTAAGCACTTAGTGTACCAATTCACAAAACTAAGTAGACTCCAGAAAGTAAATTAGGAAAAATACATAATTCATCACTTTCCTTATTTCTATCCATCATGTACTTCCCATCGAAGCCCATTTTCTCTGATTTTGATCCAGCACTGTTTAACGCACGGATTGACTACTTGGATAAAACTCCGTTGAATGAGAAAGGTAACTGACATATTTGCGATGCTGAAAAACCGTGAGGAAACTTTAAATCATGCATAAAGAATTAAGATTACTATTATGGCTTATAGTGATGTTAAAGAGCTGAAGCTTTGTGAATGGAGGGTAAATTTGTTTAAATACGAAGTTTACTTTGAAACTAGTTGTGTTCGAAATTGCACATATTCAGCATTTATAAGGATCTAACAGTCAATTGATAAATTTCATTCATAAAGGGAGACTTCTCAGTAAACTGAGCATAAAAATTGCTTTGGTTAAGAACTGAGCAATTATTTTAAGGGAGTGATGACAGAATGATCTGTTTTTCTGAACGTCTGATTAAATGGGAAATGCCGCCCCGTAATTTCACAAGACAGTAGATTTCTCAATTTTAAATCTATTTTTATCAAATTTTTCACGTCAGAGAAAAATCGAAAAAATTACTGTGAACCCATCAAGTTCTTTCCTGCGAAGCAGCAATAAATGCATCATGCAAACTCTTGATTATTTCTCGAAAACGTCACTCTCTCTCTCGTTCACCCGAGACTTCGACTATTTTCTCTATTTCATCACAACCTAAAAATTCACGAGACGAAGCGGTCGAATACTCGAAACAGGTTGTCGGTCATGAAGTTGTGGAAAAAACGAGACAGGAATAAAACTGGAGATAAACATTGCTGCAAATGTCAGATGTCGGAGTACTCGAGGAGCGAGAAAAAGTGCAATTTCTCCCTCTCTTTTTATGGCCCGGACGGACAGAGGGCCGGCCAAGGGGGTCACCCTCGAGGGGGCGCGAGGGTGGAAGGGGGTTGGGGAGGCGGGCGACAGGGGAGGACAAAAAGTGAGGTGGAGTGGCGGCTCTTGAGTCAATCAAAGAGCCGGAGTCTCGGCTCTTGTTTGAGCAGTTCCAATCATAATATTGACTCTGAGATAACAGAGAGCGGCCCAACTGCGACCGACTCGGGGCTCGCCGAGGAAATGCGAACGGCCGCGGTCGCCGCGCGCCAGGGCTCAACCTCCGAGAATTCGCATCTGTTCTTGATTTCTTGTTCCGTTCATGTCAAAAAGACGCAACCCCGGTTCCGCATGAGCCCTGTTATGGAAAAACGCCGTATGAACCTTCAGGCGTTGCCAAATATCCTTCGATAAAACACAAATTTCCTGGTAAAAATACAGGGTTATTCAAAATTCACGCACCACTGGCCATAAAAGGGGGTGGCTATTAGAAATTTTTGAGTTGTCCCCCGCCCCCTCCCTCCGAGGGGATCAAAAACTGGAAAGCACCTAAAAAAGTTTCCCCCTCGATATGAGGAAAAACGTCTTAAACCGCTAATCGATATCATAATTAAAACTAAAGTTATGGCCAGTGGTGCGTGACTTTTGAATAACCCTGTATGAATATTTTTTTCAGATTTTTCATATAATTTTCTTCGCAATTTCACCTAAAGTCCCTGAAAAGTTCGAGGAAAAATACTCATAACTCGCCTCAAGATTAAACGTTTTATCGAAAGAAATTTGGCAACTCTCGAATGTTCATACGGCGTTCTTCCTTAGCATAGCAGTATAGCGCCACAATTTAAGGGGATAATCCTTTACGGTTTTTTCGGGAGATAAAATGTTTGATTTTAAGAACAGTTCTCCAGTTTCCAACATCTCCGGTTCCGCATGAGCCCTGTTAAGGAAAAACGTCGTATGAACTTTCAGGTGTTGCCAAGTTTCATTTCATAAAACGCGAATTCCCTGGTAACTTTATGAATATTTTCCTCCAAATTCTTCAGATAATTTTGTTCGCAATCACAAGGTCCTGAAAAACTCAAGGAAAAATAAAAACGAACGCTTTATCGAAGGAAATTTGGCAACTCTCGAATATCCATACGGCGTTTTTCCTTAGCATGGCAGTACTGAGCATTAAGCTTTACGGACGATACCGCTTATTGCTAAAAATAGTTACGCTTTTGTGTTGCGTCAGTAGGGTAACAAGTGCCACGGAGCTCCTGCCAAAGAGAGGATATCACAAGGAAGGACCCCATACTAGATTTCTCTACGGGCCGATTATTGGAATTGATAGACAAAGCTATAGACAAAGCAGAAAAAAAGTTTAAGGAGGGATCCTATTGATGGAAGCGGGTGGTTTAATGGACAAAAGAGGTAATGGACTAACTGACGACAATCCACCAGAGACCATACAATTAGTCCATCATTTTCTCCCTTACTTAGTAGGAGCCACCCGTTTCAACTGATAGGATCGCTCAATACTCCCTTTTTCTTCTTTGCCTATCGTTTTGTCTATCAATATCAATAAACAGCCAGCTGGAGTCTCTTTGTAGGGAGCATCAGGGGCCGAAGTTCACCCCACTCACCTTTTTCCCCCTATCGTTTAAAAGTTATGTTTGAAAGTGAACGCTCAAATTCGCCTTGAGTGTTGAGAAATAATTCGTTCTGCTAACGCGAGTACACTG